GTTACCTACTTTACTTACATGTACACACAATTACCATGGTGTTACAGAAAAACATCTCTTCGCTCTTTATTACTCTCCCCCAATATCGTCATACTTGATTAAGTTGGAGAAAGCAAGCCAGAATTGAACTCTCTACCACTCTAGACAGATCAAAGGCTGAAGCAGTGATTACTCTTTCACTTTACACGTACATTACTAATCCTAATTATCATCTTATACAGTACAGCTGTAGTTGTCTCTATTGTCCTGAAACATGCATTAATTAACCTTCCAATTCAGTTAACCTAATGGTGTATATACAGTCGTAGTGGTCTCTAGTGTCTCAAACATGATTACTACACATTATTTTGTATCTCCAACACCTTGCGAAGTCAATGTCACATTGTACATTAACAGTAGCCCCAAGGTGTTGGGTGGTTGCCATGGTGATGAACCCTGACCTGTGCTCCAATGATGTCCTCAGCAGTCTGGGGGCTGAGTCCCAGGTCATGTGACAGGAAGTGGGAGAAGTCGTTTGGGTCTCGGAGGGTACAGTCCAGGTGGATTGGATCTAGACACCCATGCAATAGTGGGGTGAGTAACAGAGATACGTAATTGGGTTACGAGCTAAGAACAATGAAAATGCTGACCAGCAGATTTCGTGACTCAAAACTTAGTCTTACATGAAGAACTGACTATAGTTAAGGTACAATCTCGCAGTCAGTTTGTACTGTCGGTATGGTTTTAGACATGTTCTCGGTTACATATGTGGTCATGTAAAGGCGAGCAGTGGCTCAAATGTGTCCATAACTCATGCAAACCTTTGTACCTCAGTCCATGCCACACAAAGCTGCTTAAAACCTCTTTTCTTTGTCTGGGTGATATGTACATATTCCACACCAGAGTGTGGTTACTACTGAGCAGAAAGGCTGCAGGCTTCACTCTTCTTCAGCATCACTCAACCACATGAAGGCATTAGACCATGTGACGCCAAGAGAAAAAAGATGGGGAGCTCTGGACAGCTGTTTCGGACTTGTTGGCCCTCATCAGCAGAGCATATCGCAACTTCTCTCTCTGGCATCACGAGTTTATAAAGGCTACCAGGAGCGCAGCACTTGTGGTTCTGAACTACTACAAGGCATGCAACATTCCCCTTAGACATCTTGCTATTATATTTGGGTATGAATGGTACACAAACAGTACATATTTGAGGGGGAAAGCGCTGTGTTTGAGACACACCCTTGATTCAGTGCTGAATAAAGAATTCTCTTTGAACTCGAGCGTCTTTTACTATTTGTGTTTGGAGAAATGATGATTTATTTGAATGTAGGGAATTTGTAGCAAGCTAGTTTGAACTATGTGGGCTAAACCGCACATTATTATACAGTACAGTGCCAAAGTGACCCTTAGACTAACAGCCTTTGAATAAAGGGCACTCTCTATGTCCCCCGAGGTCTCCCTTATTCAGAGGTTTCACTGCATACTTTGTTGTTGGCAGGCTAGGAGCCTGGCCTCGGCAGAGAAACAGCCGAGTTGTTCCTCGAGCTGCGAGCACACTCCATTCCAGCTCTGCAACACGTCCGTCTCCTCCAGCAACGAGTAAAACTGGTTTACCCTGTGACGATTACGGCGACAGACAAGTAGTCATAGGTGGATGGGGATACGATAGGGAGAGAGAGAGAGAGAAAGGGGGAGGAGGTGGAGGGAGGGAGGGAGAGGATGGGAAGAGGAACATTCCATGAACAGTTCATATCAATGAATACCAGCGACCCAATAAGGTACCCACATACATAGCTCTATATCTGGTAACCATCTGGTGTCTCCATAGATATTCCAGATATATACATATGTGGTTACATACAGTCTAGAATAATTATGGTGCATGCCACACATTTTAGCGAACAAAGAGAGCAGTTCGATTTTTGTGTAATAAGAGTCGCGTATAACATTACAGTACATGGCAGTGCCTTGCAGTACACATAGAAAAAAATCCCGCATTCAGACGACTATATAGGTGGGCTAAGTGGTCTCCTTCCTTCACCAATTAGGTAATGTCTGTGACTTGCCATCCTGAAACTAATCATCCATCAAACCCAATTCCCACTCTTGTGAACACACCAGGGTGCACTGTATATACAACTGTAATACACTAACTGTACATGTAGATTCTGTCAGGGGGATATAAGACAGGAAGAGAGAGGCCTGGCTGCAGAGATGCAGTTCTTCCTCTCCAGGAAACAGAGGAGACAGCTGGCTACCCTACCACCTCAGAAAAGGAGGCTGCCTGAGTGGACTTTGACCTACTATATCCTGGAGTTACATTACTGAGAAAATCCACAGGAGATTTTCATGAACATGATGGAATGGAGCAAAACATTGCTTTTGTCCCACCCTGACATGTTGCACGAAGTCACTAAGCGAAGTGACATCGTATTGATGTTAAACAAGAGGATCCGCAAAAAAGTGTCGCAAAACAGACTATCAACCGCAAAATGCTGCAGAATAGAGCAATCACCGCAACACGCAACAGTTAAAGAATCCACCAAAAAGTAATGCAGAACCATCATCGCAGCAGGTTACAGTAACATCGCGACAGACTTTAGACTATTATCATCAGCGAGCCAACCTGGTATGTATATAAATTGGCCACATAATACAAAACAAACGTAGCATGTTTATACTATAGCGTGTAAGTGCTGACACAGTTAGCTTTCTTTGTCTATAAGTATATAATTAGATCTGGTGTCTACACATTGCAACAGTACAACTTGTATATATATACTCTATCGCCACAGTAGTTACACTTGTTGTAAACGCCGGGCATAAGCCCACGGAAAAATTCTCTGTGAATGCAGTCAAAGACAACCGGACTTGTTTTCTGAAAAATAATAAGTTTTTCCATTTAACTTCGAAAACTGCCCATTGAAAAATGCTAATAGTGTTTCTGTAGGGAATTTTCTGCTGCTAGAGTTATTATACAGACATGGATACATCATTACTGCTTACGAAGCATTATGATAGACTGGCATGTCCGAGTAGTTAGTGGTGGGTTGGCCTCTGAAATCACAGATTGCAGATTGTAGGAACGGCAGAGCTCCAGCAGACGGCAGCGCAAAGGCCTTAAAGACAGCTGGTTTGTAATGTACACATGGGAGTGGGGAAAAGATTGAAAAAGGAAGTTGGGAGGGGTGAAGAGGGAGGGAGAGGGGGAAAGGCATCAGAGATTGAGATTTCAAAGGGAAGAGAGGGAGGGAGGGATGACAGTAATGGTAGACACATCCCATTTGTGAGATAATACACTACTGAACTAAACACTACACTACGTATTGCGTAGTTACTACTCTCCAGCAGTGGACAAGCTCCGAACTTAGTTATAGCCACTGTACAAGCATGACCTCTGTTCCTGTCACTTATAAACAAGCCATAGCTGGACATGCTTCCTTACAAAGAGTGCATGCGTTACATTAGAGAGAGAGGTGGTCTGCTGAGTGGCTCACCTGTCTCGTGCTTCTCTGCAGGGAACTGAGCCCTCATTCCAGCCAGGACGGCGAACAGGAGAATAGGCCAGACTATCTCTATCACCAGGAATATCTGTACAACAGAGACCGAAAACGGTGATCGAAGTGCAAGCATTTTCCCCGGAGGCTCCCCCCCGTAAAGAGCTAAGAGCCCACTCTTGCAGCCACGACAGAGCTCATAGACTATTGAACGTAGCTGGGTGCTCGCAAGCTAGTCGGCCTACCGGCACGGTTTTCCCGAGGTAGGACCGTCTCTTGAGTATGGAGTTCTTCCACAAGAGGAGACCCAGTTGCCTGGCGCTCACGCAGCAGCGCCTGGAGCCCGCCATGAGCCTTCTGCAGTCACACGAACCACAGCAGGAGAAAGACCGCACACCACTTTCCCTGGTTCTGTTGCTCGTCACGTCGCAGACTCGCAGTGTGTGATGGGAAGCTCATGAATGTGTTATGGTGAAGGAATTCTTGTCGGTCAAAACAAACGTATACATGATGATGATGATGATGACATACATTTTGCGCGAGTCACGCAACTTGCACATGCGCATAACCACTCTTCTCCGGGCCCTTACACTACTAGCAGCTCTTTCTTCTCCCTAAGACTATATACATAATGCAGCCAGCCCCCACGTCCAATAGGTGTAATCGTGGTATCTGGCCCTAGACCAGCTGTGACAGTGTGCAAAATTAGAGAAAACACTTGCACCACAGAACTGTGAATAACGGAAAGTGAGCGTATATTATAACCATCAATGTAATAATTTCCTGAAAGAAACGACGATGAAAATGATGAAAAACTAAGTTCTTCTCCAACTGATGATGTAGTAGACAACAAAGAAGACAATGATTATAAATATCATCATGTAGCACATCCAGCGGTTGTGTCCGGCCTTTCCCATGTTCAAGACTCTCTTCATACTGCCGGCAAGGAGACCCCCCGCAGAGTCAAAGTGTCCGTCCTGTCACCATTCCATTATGACTGGGAACAGGTTAGAGAACGGAGGACTAGAGACTTACCATGTCGTTTAGAAACGTGTTCTGACCTCTGACTTCATCTCCAATATCTATCGACAGCTGCAACAAAAATGTTTAGGAGGAGATTGAGAGAGAATAATTATACAGTGGAACCTCTGAACAAGAGACGCAATGGGGCCAACGATTTTTCCCTTGTAGAGAGGTTGTCCTTATGTCGGAGGTCAAATAATACACTAAAGCATTAGCATGGGGTTGAAACAACAAGTGTCCTTTGTAGAGAGGTCATCGTCCCTTATTGGAGGTTCCACTGTAAATATGGACAGTGCTTTTCTGTCTGCCCACCGTTTTGAGGGTGTCGATTTTCCGAGCCATATCGTCCATGAGTCGATCGTTCTCGCCCTCCAGCATCTCGTGGGTCTGGTTGGAAGCCATGGTGGAGACGGAAGGATCTGGCGGAAGACGGGGAGAAAGAGCAACAGAGCAAAGAAAAGGCTAGCCATGCATCGGTGGTAGAAGTACAGCGATAACATGGATAAATGCTACTAGTCGCACGTGTATTTCTCAGGGCTTACCAGTTATGTAGGGTCTTCTCTGGCTCATGATAAAAGGAACGGACTAAAGAGACTTGCGTATTTGCTGAGTCAGCATCGTGTGACGCGTCGCTTATGACGTCAACTTATCTGAGGTCAAAGTTCACGTCGCTCTGCTGCAAAAGATGAGTGGTGGATATCAGTTCCAAACACCGAGGCCTGGGCTGCAGTTAGGGGCTGGAGCTACCTCAACTACCCCCCTTGGTGGTGGTGGGCTAAGGTTTCAAACAGCATCTGAAGCCGGTGGGCTAGGAGCAACAATGGGTGGTGGGGGGCTACAATTAGGATCTGGTATTGGAGGGATGAGTGGCAGTGGGCTCCAATTAGGAGGTCTCGGAGGGACAAGTACTGGGAGTGGGCTACAATTAGGAGGTGGACTTGGCGGTACGAGTGGTGGTGGGCTACAATTAGGAGGACTTGGTGGTGGTGGGCTCAGATCGGGACCTGGTCTAGGAGCAACAAGTGGTGGTGGGCTGCCATTAGGATCTGGGGCAACAAGTGGTGGTTGGCCGCAATTGGGATCTGGAGCAACTAGTGGTGGTGGGCTCCAATTGGGAGCTGGACTTGGCAGTGGTGGACTACAATTAGGATCTGGAGCTGTCACAGCGACCAGTGGTGGCAGTGGGCTCCAATTGGGAGCTGGACTTGGAGCAGCTAGCGGTGGTGGACTCCAATTAGGGACTGGAATGGGAACAAAAAGTGGAGGTGGGCTGCAATTGGGAGGAACCAGTACTGCTACCAGTGGCTTGAATTTTGGGCACCAGTGGACATGGCCAGTTGCCTTCCTATGGAAGTAGTGGGTTCCACTTAGGAAGTGGAGGACTACCAGCTTCGAGTGGAGGTGGGCTGCAATTAGGGATGGGAACAACGTCAGGTGGCGGTGGGCTCCAATTGGGAGGAATTGGAACGTCAGCGGCACCAGGAGGCCAGGGACTGGTGACTGGAGCAACACAGCAATCTCAGCTCCAACTGGGAGGAGGTCTAGGCCTTCAGAAGCCAGTTGGAATTGGGGGAGTAGCAGGGACGACAGCTGGTACCGCGGGAACACTAGGAGGTCTCCTTGTCACACCAGCTTCCCAACAACCCTCTTCCTTCTCTAGCGGGAGTTTGACCACTACAACTGGAACTGCATCTCTTCTAGGAAGGGGAGGGGGAGGGTTGCCACAAACCACTCACCAGCCCTCGCTTGGGTTCAACCTGCAAACAGCCACTGCTCAAACCACCTCTACCACAGCTACTGCCACTAAACCGGTCCTGGGTGGCGGTCTGGGTGGTTTTGGCTCTGCGGCTGGCACCCTGCAACTCAAGAACACTGCAACCACAGCTGGTAAGTCAGGCTCATTTGTAAGCTGCCATAGTACTTTAGCTAAGCCTGCCCATGCCTCTATAACTGGCCCTCTGCAACTTAAGAATTAACTTTTCGCAAAAAAAGCTTTCATGGAGGGCAGTCCGCTGGCATGCTAAAACACAATTTCAAGTTTCCAAGAGGTTGTAAGAGGCATGTCTTTCCAGGAAATGTAACCCCAGGTCAATGTTTTCTGCCAATAAGAGGGTTTTGTTTGGTAACATGTCTGCAACTTGATGACTGGTGACTAGTCCTTGGAGATTTGAATCGGTTTTCACTTCGCCAAAGATCTAATGTTATGGGAGCCCCTAAACAGTCAGATAATTGAGGGGTTTACCCACCCTGTATGATAATAGTATCGCCTTCTCTTACTTCATGAGGCCCCTCTACCACGGGAATTGGTGCAACTGCTGGTGTTTTCACCACCACGACCCAGAGTGGGGGCTGTGGCAGGAGGAGGTCGACAGTACACCTTCAAGGAGCTGGAGGATCAGATACAAAAGGTGCTTACCTCCCATTAGTCTTTGCCCTAATTAGTAGTTTGCTCCCTAATGTTGAGCTAGTAAAGTTGTTCTCAGGTTCTAATTACCTCACAAACAAGCTATTGTTGTGGATTTTGGTGTATGCATGCACAGAAGAGTGAAGAATATTAAATTTCTCTTTTGCTTACCTAAGAACAGATGTTTAACTGAACAAAACCAGCCATACTGTAGCGTGCTAGTAATTGATCACAGATCAGTACATATGAAGATGCCGTGATTAAAAATTCAACCACAAATGTGATATAGTTCTCTTCCCTCCCTCCCTCTTCCCTCCCTCCCCTCCCTTCCTCCCGACTTCGCTCCCTCCTCTCCTGCCCTCCCTCCCTCCTTTGTTCACCTTCCTCCTCACTTCCATCACTCACCTCCTCTCCTCGCTTCCCCCCTCCTCTTTCTCACTTACCTCCTCTCCTCCCTTCCCCCTCCTCTTTCTCACTTACCTCCTCTCCTCCCTCACTCACCTCCTATCAGTGGAGTGTGGAGCTACAAAACCAGGAGAAGATATTCCAGAGAGAGGCTCAGAGGATTAATGCCTGGGACAGAGTCCTCGCCGAGAATGGAGACAAGGTGATTGGTAGGGAACGGAGTGAGAGTGGGATGATAAGGGGAGATGAGACGAACGAGGGAATTAAGGAGGAGGGCATCTGGCAACAACTAGGGTCTCAATACTTAAGTTATTGTTATGATGCACGCATGCTATTGCGCTGTCGGCAGTTTTCTATGATCACCGCTTTAGAAACCTATATATGAGGGAATGAAGGGAAGGGCGAAAGAGGAGAGGGTTACTGAGAGTGAGTCAGTGTAACTAAGGAAATGGAGAGAAGGTGGAACGGGAAGAGCGTTGGCTCCGGGGGCACTCAACCCCACCTTGATCAACTCTCGTCCCTTACAATGCGCCCAGTCACAGGGTTTTGCCCCCTCATTTTCAAAAAATGTGTTCCCCCTCCCCACCATCAAATTCAAAATGGGTCTAGAGTGGTGAGGTAAGAAGACAAGGTTACTGAGTGACTGTGGGAGAAGGTATATAGAACGGAGAGAGGACATCTGAGATTTAAGGAGACGAGATGACTTACAGAATTGGGGTAGAATTGGAGAGAGGGTAACGTAAGGAGCCAAGATAACTCGGGTCATGGTGAGAAGGCGAGAGGGTAACTGGAAGGTGAGGTGAAAAGGTGACTGAGGGAATGGGGCAAATGTAGAATGGGGAGAGGGTAACTGAGAGAGTGTCAGAGCCAGGTAGAAAAGGTGTGGTGGAGCTGTGTGGTCAGAGGATCAAAGGGAGTGAATTGTAGCTCAGTCTGTGTGAAGACAGTTTACTGACGCCTGGCTGCACCGTAGAATGGGGCCTGTGTACAATGAGGCCTGGGTAGACTGTAGAATGAGGCCTGGATGGACTGTAGAATGGGGCCTGGGTGGACAGAATGAAGCCACAGTCACAGTCAGCGAGGGTTACATTAGTTGGTTTGTCTGTCTGTGTGTGTGTCGACGCTTATTCTGGCACTACAGGCTACGAGGCGGCCTATTAGCGATACCAGCTGCTTCAGAACTACGCGAGCCTGAAAAATAAAAGGGCGATCTGCGTTCGAGAGATATGCCGTGAAAACAAGCGAAAAAGCCAATATGCATATTAGAACTGGGCTCGCTCGCCCGCTAGCTCTGTGTATCTTGGGGGCTCAGGAAGTCACAACGAATGGCATTTATCGACTCCCGCATGCTATCTACTACTGTAGCTAGCCGGTGTCAGACTCTCCACGAGCTACGAGCGGGAGACCACGAGTAAACACATACAAATAGCCCAGCCCATCAATTAGCAGTAACGTGCATGCGCAGTTCACCGAGGGTTTGCACTTTAGTTCTTTTCATTAATGTGTAGACGGTATAATATTGTAAAAATCTAGCAATGATTGTGACATGCATACATACATGGAGGAGAAGAGCAGTTTTGTGTCATCTACAGTACCCAATCATACTGCTCTTCTGTAATTAGTTTTGAGAGTTTCAGTGTTATTTGCCAAACTGTCAGTAGGGGAGGTCATTAGCATGAATAGAGCATTGGGCATTAGGGAAAGTTGTCTGTGGACTTGAGACTAGAGTCTGGGAGTGTGTCTGTAGTCAGTCCTGTATAGGGTATGTATGTAGTAATGCAGTTAGTACCTCCATAGACCAAGCGGAGGTAAACGCATCAGGTGGTGCAGAAATTGAAGGTGTCTGAACATCCCCACCCAACCACTCAATTATGCCCACAGATCAGTGAACGACGGGCTGTGGGGGATGCTTAGCCTCGCCCCAGGCCTTCTTTCTCTCACGGAAGGCCAGGAAACAGAGGCTAAACATCCCCCACCCACTGTCCACAGATCACGGAGCTGAACGAGGCCGTGGAGAGAGCCAGGAGCCAGCAGAAGAGTCTGGACAGTGAACTGGACCTGATCGGCTCCCAGCAAGCCGAGCTGGAGGAGATCCTGACAGGACTGGAGAAGAAGGCGGAGCTGCAGCAGCCGCTGGCTACCACTCTCCACGCCGACATACAGAGAACCAAGATGTCAGGGAAATAGGGGGAGGAAGGAGGGAGAGATGAAATACTGTACTAGATTGCTGGGAAATTGCTAACGCTGTGTTAATGCTTTTATCTTGGCTTGATATACAGTGGAACCTCCGATAAGGGTTAAGGGGCCTCCGAGATAGGGACGACGTCGCTACAAAGGACACTTTGCTTCAACCCCATGCTAATACGTTAGTGTATTATTTGACCTCCGAGATAGGACGACGACCTCTCTACAAGGGAAACTTGTTTAAAAAACGCCCATGTTAATACTTTAGTGTCTTATTTGACCTCTGAGATAGGGAAAACCTCTGTTGTTCAGAGGTTCCACTGATTTTACCTGTCGTTCTCAACGAGAATCTTTATACGTTAGCAGAAGTGAGAATTTGAGGGGGGGTGCCTTGGGTCCACACTTGTCATGTGACAAACTCTTATATGGCTGGAAGATTTGCCACCTCTGAAAGGCTAGGATTTTTGGAGTGTTTCCCCGTGCCTCATATTGCCAAATGTGCCTTGTTACTGAGCATTTTTTGGGGGAGAGGGAGAGTCCTTTTCAATTCTAGACCCTTTCCCAAAACTTATATACCAAGTGCCCATATTAGAAAAGTGTCCTTATTTGACTGTTGTTAAATCGCCTGCAAGAACTGTTCTCGAAGAAGTCTTTATTAGAGAGAGTGTGTGAGGAGTGCCTTTAGAGAATGTGTGAGGAGTGCCCTTAGAGAGTGTGTGAGGAGTGTCCTTAGAGAGTGTGTTAGGAGTGCCCTTAGAGAATGTGTGAGGAGTGCCCTTAGAGAGTGTGTGAGGAGTGCCCTTAGAGATGGTGTGTGAGGAGTGTCCTTAGAGAGTGTGTGAGGAGTGTCCTTAGAGAGTGTGTTAGGAGTGCCCTTAGAGAATGTGTGAGGAGTGCCCTTAGAGAGTGTGTGAGGAGTGCCCTTAGAGATGGTGTGTGGAGTGCCCTTAGAGAGTGAGTGAAGAGTGTCCTTTCAGAGTGAATGAAGAGTGTCCTTAGAGAGTGAGGGAAGAGTGCCCTTATAGAATGTGTGGGGAGTGTCCTTGGAGAGTGTGTTCTTGCTGTTACCTGCAGCTACCAGCTGGCTGAGAGTGTGGACGCTCAGCTGCGCAGAATGGAGCAGGACCTCAAAGTCATCATTGAGCAGATGAACTCCTCCAACGCAGCCGAAGACGAGGATAACCCCGTACGTGACCTCCTCCTGTCACCCTACTCCGTGTCTAATGTCCCTCTCCCTCCTCCTCAATGATGTGTGTGTGCAGATGGTAAAGGTGGTCAAGATACTGAATGCACACGCGGACTCTCTCAACTGGATCGATCGTAACACAGGTATCACAACACGCACACTTTATCCGACAACAGAGAAAGGTGATAACGTTGTCAGCAATATCAACAAGCCCATCTGTGTCAGTCCCCTAGCATTTGCTCATGTGTGTACTGCTCAGTGTACTTGCTATCAAATATGTGGAACAGCGTTATTCTGGCACACTCTTTACCCCTCTACAAGTGATTGTGTAGACCCCATCTTAAAATCTACTGATTCTAGTATGGGATCTGTAAGGAAGTGGTATAGGGTAGTATTATGGCCATCTGGCCTGTTAGCAATGGTTTAGTCTCCTGCTTCCTCAGGTTATGTCCTCAGGTGATTCCCTAATGTTTTTGTAGTCTCATTCCATGACACCCACGCAAAGAGGTTATCTCTGGAACTTCAGTGGATTTTCTTGGCAGTGACACATTTTGGGAGGAACCAATCAGTTTGCAAGATTTGGTTTATCACATAATTGTCATATAGCTTTTATTAATACTCCCATTCTTAATACAAAGAGATTGAGATAGCATGCTCTGTGTGGATCACTTCCCAGGTATAGTTTGTTCTACTTCCAGTAACTCTGTGGTTCTTGGGAGCTTTGGTAAAGTACCTATTGCGAAAAGTGCTGATGTACATTCACAAACTGGTCTCAGCCTGTTAGCTAGAGTGGTCTAGGGCTGTAGCTGACATGTTTTGGAGAAATGAACTTCCTCAGGTCATGACCTCAGGTGATTCATGACAGCCCCTGGCAGAAGAGGAAGTGCTGTTATCATAGTCTCATGCGATGACACCCACACAAAGAGCTAATTTTAGTCAATTTCTTGGCAGTGGAGAATTTTGCGGGATTTCGTTTCTCACGGAATTGTTACGTTAGAGTTCCACCTTTCCTATGTGGGGTGGTATAGGGACAACACTCATGTTTTCATAAATGCGTTTCTCTTTTGCTGACTTTTGGGCGTTAACATTTATGTATGTAGTTAGACACTGGGTGGGTCTGGCACTGGTAGCTCTGTGCTGGGGTGGGGGCCAGTTAATATCCTCTGATTGAGTGAGTGAGTGAGTGTGTGTGTGTGTGTGTGAGTGTATTGGTGTATTGGTGCAGCTCTGTTGAAGCAGAAGGTGGACGAGGTTGGCAAGCAGACGGAGCAGAGGAGGAGAGAGCAGGAGAGGTCATTCAGACTGGTCAGTTCTCCTCCGTATACCGTATCTCGAGTGAGACAAATTTCGCAAGGCAGCTAGTTTATGAGCCTTCTGCCACAGTTGAAATGTGCTTCATTTTTCTTGAGAATTTGGCTGGCCCACGTACATGTGTGCACCAGGCACACCCCTGTTACTAACCCTCAATACTGCCCACCCAACCACAAATCCCAGTGTTTAGAGTACGTTGCTTGCTTCATTGCAGTATCCGCCGTGAATTTTGATGCAAGTCATATGTTGTTGGGGATACATCACTGTTAATGAAGTGTCAATATGTGTGAAATGTTGTAAATTTGTAAGTTTGTGCTTTAAGGTTTATACATAAGTTGTTACCCACCATTTCTGAAATTTCGATGCATGTCAAATGTTGTTTGGGACTAGTTTTATTACATCACTGTTTTCTAAGATTAACAAAGTGTCACTATGTGTGAAATGTTGTAAATTGTAACCATTGTGTATAACCTAGTTAGTTGTTTTCTCTACCTAATTAGGTGCAAATATGATATATATGCAAAGATGCAGTCCAGTGCTTTGTCTGGCTATGTCAATAGAGTGATAACCATCTCCTCTGTCTCTCCAGGCATTTGATCAATAGCCAGAGTCACACAATAGGAATCCTACTCCTCCTCTCACTTCCTTCTGTGTCAACTGGCTCTTCCTGTGAATTTACACAACACTGTGATTTAGCCAATGGTGCAGTGGACTTTCTACTACTGTCTAAACACTTTACCTGTGTATGGTGCTTGATTTGATAAGTCTTGTTCTGTTTGACAATTGAGACCTGTGGTGCTGCAAGTGTGTGTTTGCTGACATCTGAGAGATGTGCAAGTGGCCATATTGTTGGTATGCACTCTGCTGTGATAACATGGGGTCCTCATGGCAATGGTTCTCATGTTGTTAGGGTATAGTGTAACCATATCCCTAGCTTCAACTCAGACTTTCTCTGAGTGCATTTGTGCACAGAATGATTGAACCTCCCCAATAATGGGGATTACTGCAAAACAATCCCCCTTGACACCCCTTCCTTCATTCTCTGAGGAGGAATAATTAACCCTCGGCTGTCTGTCTTCTGTGTGTGTGCATGTGTGTCTGTTACTCTCAATCTCACTTCTCGGGTGTTTGTTCGTCTCACAAAGGACACGATCTACTTAACGGGCAATGAAGGTCAGAAATTATGTGCGGTTTTCTCTGAAAATCCTCCGTTGCAAAGCTAGAGCGCATTCAGCATTGTACGGCTAATGCCGGTAGACACCATTTTATCGCTGCGGAAAATGCGCATGCGTTTATATTTAGCACAGGATTACATCGACCGGGTCTGCTTACTCTGTGTATCTTGAAGGCACAAGAAGTCACAATGAATGGCATGTATCGACTCTCGCATGCTATCTATTACTGTAGCTAGCCCGTGTCAGACTCTCTGCGAGCTACTAGCGGGAGACCACGAGTAAACGCATACTAATAGCAGCCCAGCCCATCAATTAGTGGTACCGCGCATCTGCAGTTTGCCGAGGGTTTGCACTTTGGTGCTTTTCATTTTACATTGAGTCCACGGAAATGTATTGTAAGCCTGGGTTAGGCACTCCAATCAGAGAAATTAATGTTTTGTCTACGACATCTCATGAATGTGATTTTCAAGTGGGTGAAAATAATTTGGTAGTTGTAGAGTTTTTCGTTCCTTTCGGACAGACGAGCCTAGTCATCTCAATGCGGAATTTTCTATGCGGGGCACTGCCACTGCTCAATACTGTAACGTTTTACGTGATTGCAAAAAATCGTGGTATATAGTCAGAGCTTCTGAGTTGATGAATCATTCTTGTTTATAGGGAGGGGTACAATAAGGCTACTTCGGGATAATGGAGGAGGCTTGGGAATTAATATCTGAAGGCTCCATGCCAAATTCTTTGTTTACATCTCTAACCAGTGGAAAACACCTCGTTGATTAATTGGATTGCACAACTCTAGGCCAGTAGGCCGCCGCTTACAAAACTAATCGGATCAGCCATGCTGCACTGGAATGCAAGCGTGGGCGGATCAGCCCTACTATTAGCGAGCTGCGTGTGTGGGTGGCTGACTAGTATAAGGTTCTGCAGCAAAACGCATGCCTCAGGAGGCGTAGACGTTATTATGGTGTAGTCGTTGCAGTTTTAGTCGAGCCACAAAGAGAGTTTTGCTCACTAAGATAACACGTTCAGTCAGACGATGGCTGCAAGATTGCTTCTGTTAGCGACGGTGTTTGCCGGACAGCTCCTAGCCGGCTGGAGTAGCGAGTCGCACTTCGCGGTGTACGAGGGAGAGTGGGAGACGTGCAAACGAATCAACTCCAGCATGTCGTGCTACCAGAAACGAGACGTGTACTGCCGTGCAGTGGACAGCCGAAAGCCGGCTCCGTGGAGACACTGCTCTGCGGGCGGGAGTAAAATTCGACCTGAGACCGCGAAAGAGTGCCGTCAGTGCCAACAAGACTGCGTCGTGACCATGTGGAGCGAGTGGACGCCCTGCTCCAACAGAGACGTGTACACGACTCGGAATCGCTCCGTTGTGGCTCCGCAGTTCCAAGACGGGAAGCCGTGCCCGGCACTGCGAGAAAGAAAGAGGTGCGAGAGCTTAGCCATGATTGCGGATCTGGATCGCCGTCAGTCTTGGAAGCTAGGAGCCGTGGGTGGAGTGCGAACCGTTGGATAATCGTGACTGCGGCGAGGGGAAGCGTACACGTTCCGTCGACTGCGTGGATTTGCAAGGCAGGACTGTAAACCAGACACTCTGCCTACAAGAGGAGGCGTACCGGCGCGTTCTGCCTCCTCCGCTGGCCCAGCTTTGCGAGGTTCCGTGTCCATGTCTGCTGAGCGGATGGAGCGAGTGGAGCAGACCCACCCCCGACTGCAGCCTCTCCACCGCCGGCCTCGCCAGTCGTCGCTCGCGCACCGTCGAGCGGCACCCAACACTCGGAGGTCAGCCCTGTGGAGCTCTGGAAGAGATTGAGATGAGCTTAGGCGAGGTTCAGTGTCCGACAGTCCGCTGGGAGACCTCGGGCTGGTCTGAATGCACCGTGGAAGACGAAGACACGTCTTGCGGTGCTGGATACAGGAGACGTTACATTTACTGCATGGAAGAAGACATGGATGGTGTAGCGAGACAAGTAGAGCCAGAGAGATGCAACTCTACCGAACAGCCAACTAGTCTTGATCCGTGTCACGTACCTTGTGTCCAACAATGCAGGGTGAGTGAGTGGACCGCATGGAGCCACTGTCCCAATGATACCTGTGAAGCAATCCTCTCTTATCGAAATCGAACAGTGTTGGTTGAACCGTACGCATACGAATGTCCACATCTCGCAGAGGTGCGGGAGTGTCACTGATTCCATGTGCCCAGTGGGTCCCTGGTGAGTGGTCGAGTTGCTTCCCCAGTTTCGACCGAGAGTGCGGATGGGGAAGTCAGTCACGAGACATCCAATGTCGAGACGCTGCAGGGAACGAGATTGTGAATGGGAACGACTGCGATCATCTCGATAACCTAAACCAGGTGGAGTCTTGCTACAAACACTGTCGGAACGACACTTGCGTAATCTCAGACTGGGGAGAGTGGTCCGCCTGCTCTGAGACATGCGGAAACACCCAGGGAGTCCAGACAAGGTCCCGCTATGTTGCCGTTAACACTGGCAGCTCGTGCAATCACCTCGAAGGGGGGTTGTCCCAGCAACAGAACTGCACAGTTGACACTCCGTGTGAGTTCCCTGTGTTCCACATCGAGTACAGTCAGTGGGGAGAGTGTCTCGTACCTGCCAATGCAACCAGAGACGGCAAGATGTGCAATGGTGTCAGAACCAGAACTGCTACTTGTTTCAGAGACGAGGAGGAAGTAACGGACAATGAGTGTGTGATTGGTTCGAGAGTTGTTGAAGAGCCCATGTACTGTGCCTTGCTCCACCGACTGTATCATGAGCGACTGGTCGCCCTTCTCCAAGTGTTCCTCATCATGTCTTCAAACGAGGAGGCGGAGACTACTGGAATTTGGAGACGGCTGTCCATCTGTGGACAGCAGCGGATTTGAAACCGAGACAGCCCTCTGTGACTGTGGCAGTGTGTACCAATGGGTGGCTGGAGACAGTTGGAGCTCCTGCCAGGCGTTCCCCACTCCCCTGTCACAACTTTCACAGGACTATATTGACTCCCCTCATTCCTGACCCGGGAGCTCTCTGTGGACAGGGCTCTCAGAGCAGAGTTGTTGTATGTCGAAATGAAGATGGAGCCGTTGTCGACGAGAGACTCTGCGATATTCGGACCAAGCCTCCATCAGTCAGATCCTGCCATGTTAACTGCAGCCAGAGATGTGTTGTCACCGACTGGACCAACTACAGTCTATGCAACGGGAGTGCCACGATGCAGCGGCGGACTCGACAGATCCTTTCTTTCACAGGGGTACAACAAGTACCTGGATAATTGTCCGGAGCTCCTCAGCGTTGCTCAGGTTGATGAACAGAGTTGCCCGTCGCACGACTTTAGCAAGTTTTTCTCGACAATCATCTATGACTTTGAGGAGCTCCACAGTTGTTACCTCCCTGCGGACAAGGTTTGTGGGCCGGGGGAGAGATACCGCACCATCGGCTGCATCAACACATCTGTTCCAGAGCCAGATAGGACTGCCGTCTCTCCAGATTTCTGCAGCAGACAACCCTCGTCCGACACGGTCCAGGTCTGCAACGATAACTGCAACACTGACTGTGAGTATGCCCACCCTGGGTGGTCCGTCTGGAGCCCGTGCTCCGTGACGTGTGGGACTGGCATCCAGACAAGGACCATGACAGTGCAGAGGAACCCGCGAGGACAAGGGCGACGCTGCGGTCACCTGAACGAAACCACGACCTGCGAGATGCCTCCCTGCGAGTTCTTCAAGTATTCGTACACAGATCGCGGCGTGTGCCGACCTCTCAATGAGACTATGGGCTGTGGAAATGGAGTATCCACTTCCGACCTTGTCTGCCTTGTGAACGGAGTTGCCCGGCCGAATACGTCTGCCTGTGAGCCCGCTCTTGGACTCAAAGCACCACAGAGGTTCTTTGTCTGCAGTGTTCCCTGTGACGGGGAGTGTGTGTGGAGTGAGTGGAGCACCCTCCAATGGTGCCCAGACTGTCGCAGCGGGTGCTACAAGAGGACCAGGCACATTCTTAGATCTGGTGACAACTGTGAGGGAACGACGGAGCAGTTCAGGCCGTGCCCGATGGACGAAGCGTTCTGGGGGACTGATGATTGGACGGACTGCATCGTGCAGGGGGCACCGCAGGAGTACTGTGGGCCTGGGATTCAGAGGAGAAAGGTGGAGTGCAGACAGTTGAACAAGGGTGGCACTTACGATGGCGTTTGCTCTCATCTCGTTAAACCCGAAACGGCCAGGGGTTGCAGTGTAACGTGTCCAGTTGACTGTGTTGTGGACACATTCAGCGAGTGGTCCAGTTGTGGCGAATGTACCTCTGATCTGCGTGCCACCGCCACACGCAAACGCCGCATTCTCGTATCGCCCGAAGACGGAGGAAGAAGCTGCCCCCATCTGATGGAAGAGAAGGCCTGCCCGAATCTCGGGTGTGACGAGTTCTTTGTCGAGACAAACTCCTCGGCTCTGGACTGCACTGCCGAGGGAAAGGATGGAGTTTGCGGGGCAGTAACCCACAACGTTCTTCTGTGTAGAAATAACACACAGTATGTTGAACTGGAGGAGTGCCTGAACGCCAATGCCAGTGGGAAGATAGTGCACAATGCGGAGCTCCTCAGTCGCCACGCTGACATGTACTGCGAGATCGAGTGCCCGGCTGTGGAAGAGTGCCATTTCACGGAGTTCGGGCCGTGGTCCGAGTGCCTCCACATCTGCGATTGGTCTCCGGAGGACACGTTCCAGTTCCGGACTCGGACAGTGCTCGCCTCGTGGGAAGGGAGTCAAGAAGCGTGTCACAGAAACCAGCAAGAGGTGCGGGTGTGCCCCTCAATTTTCAGAACGACAAACGATACGCAAGAGGAAGAGAAATGTATTAAGTTTGACTGGGTCGCATCGATCTGGTACTCTAACAACACTCGAGACGTGAAATGTCACGGTCGTGGCTGGCACGTTGAAGACTCAGCGTGCATCGAATCCCTCCACCCGGTCACCAAGAGGAACACAGAGCTCAAGGGAGTCTGCAACTGCCCGTTCCTCAGCGAATGCAACGGAGTGACGACCGAGTGTTTTTGCGAGGAGAACTTCGAGATGGTGGGCTCTCTGTGTCTCCCTACCGAGGGCTGTGTCGATAACCCAGAGTTGATGGAGATGTCGCAGCAGTGTCTGCTCCATGAGGAGTGCAGCACCACGGATACTGCGTGTGTCCCAAGGACGAAGACTGCCCCATCCTGCCGACACCCACAGAGAGTGTTTTCCCGACTGAGACTGTCACCGTGACGACAAAGGGGGTGGAGCCGGATTCGAACGGGGAAGAGACCAGTACAAAACCATCGGGTGAGTGTTTGTTGTGTGAGTAGAACGTGTACATGTGCATGTTGCTGTGTATGATACAGCAGCACAATACCATGTTTTCTGGGTCATTACGTACTTCACATAAATCACTGTTTACCTTACAAAAGTACATGTTTTTCGTATTCCATTGTCTATTCGAACCCCTTGCCCGGCCCCCTTCTCGTACTCCATTGTCTATGATTTATATCGTGTAAGAACAAATATCTGCCGCAGTCTTTTTAAATTCCTTTTCCATCTTACCACTGCCCCCTTATTTCCCTTTCTACATCCGTCTCTCCCTGCCCCTTCCTCTCATTCTGTGTTGATTAAGAATACTTTCCTTATTACACTCTCAAATTTACCTTATCATAGATACCACTTATAGTATGTATGTTTCCATCCTAGTTCCTTGCCCATTCCTCCATAATGTGTTTCTTGAGAACAACCTCATTGTTCTCTATTAATATAGGTCACCTCAGACCACTTATAATCCTATAACAGTGTATTTTCTATGTTTCATTCCTAGTTCCCATGCCCCTTCATGGTTACGTGTTCCTTGAGAACAATTAACTTTTACCTTCTCAATATCACCCACTCTTTTATTTAATTAAGACCACCCACCCCTCCCTTCTATTATAAGAATGGGTGACATCAATTTCCTTGTGACTGTTTCAAATTTACATACGCTATTGCTATCTACAAGTGTACATACCTCGGCCAAATCACAATATTGTCAATATATTTCTTTCTGCTCCCTGCCTCCCGACCCTCCGAATAATGAAACCATTTTCCTTGTTACTCTCTCATATTTACCCTCCCTATCACTCTCACTGTTGTAAGTATTACCTCAGACCACTTACCTATAAGAGTCTATGGTGTAGGAGTGGTAACCTGATTTGTGTCTCAGAAAGACCTCCACACACACACATCTGCTGTCTCATAATATAATGCTTATTGCCCTTCGTGCCACTCTGCTTTCTATGGTTGGTATATAGCAATGTTGAACGTGTAACATGAGAAATTTGAAATTGACGTTGTCTACTATCATATTTGTTGATAGTTGCCAATAAGAGTAGTACATCACTAAGTAAGGTGCGCAGTACTTAGTATACAGGGATGGGCATCCATTCGCAGGATCTTTTATTACATTTTAGCAAGGTCTCATGGAGTGACTGCAGATAGATGCCAGTTTCAGAACTCTTACTAATACGACTTGCTACACAATTATGCAATCAGTCGTAATTAGCACTTTTAGTGGCCCAGTAATGCCTCGGTGTACCTCTGTGTACTGGTCACATCGTTAACGTCTGTCGACCTTGGCACACTGCCCAATTACTTCCTGGAATGGGTGACATCCGGGATTTTATGGTAGAAGTTCCACCAATGTGTTCCTGGGAGAGAGGATTTCAGCAGCCTTGCTATGTGTGGGCCAGCGGATCAGATGTACTGAGCCCCTATAATCTGCTACTTTGCTTCCTCCCACTTATATACCTCTTAGCTGCCTCTGTAGCTCCGAACACCAGTTCACATATGTGTGTATATGTCCGTGTAGTATTATGAGTGGTCATGCTTGATCTAGAATATGGAATAATCGCTCTGTTGTAAATTTCCCAGCCCAGTCCATCCTTGTCTCTGCTAACGTAACAAAAATACTGTGCATTGAATATTTTTCATCTGGTTGCTTGTTTGTAGTGTTTTTTTAATGCCATAGTGCAGGCTTTTTTCATGAGACCGAAGAGCGTATGGGATGTGGGTTCTTGTATTACACTGGTGGTGGTTTTTACTCACTTTTTCGTGTTTTATGCTGTTTCATATTTTTCTCTCTGTGACAGGCTGTTTTATGTTCGTCCATATCAATATTCACACTGTTATATTCACAACTACAGTGAGCATAGATTTGCTAAACACAAAATATGGTGCTGTTGTTGGGAACAATGGGGCTGTGTGATATGTCAGATGTGCTGTGGTGACACATGTACAATAGTCTGACATCATTCACTGGATACAGATTCATGTGTGGTAGGGATATTCTAGGGTCGTGAATATCGTTACGGAGGTGCCAGGTAGGCCAGATCCCAGGACTAGCGACTGGCGTATGTGATTCATACTAATGAGAGCTGCAGTGCTGAAGTGGACCTGATTGCTAGCTGTGAAGTCTGTATTTGGACGGTGCGGCTGTGAATCCCTTCCGGCCATCACTAGTTCACAAAGATAGCAACCCACCCACGCAGCCCTAGCAAGCATTGCCTTTTTTTTGTTCTGGCGTCTCTCTGCAGGTGTTTGCATACACCACTGAGAGTAGTGATTTGTAGGTTTGGTATGCAGCACGTAAACTGGCAAAGTGACATCGCCTATCTGATATGCTCCACTCTTAGGTTGGTTTAGTAGTGTGTCTGCACCAGTGTAACAACTGAGCTAAGTGGGTGGTTTTAAATTTCAACTGTTGTCACTGCCCAGGACATTGCTAGCTTATCTCCACAAACAGATAACCCCCTCCAGCACCCTATGACAGCTCTCCTCCCCTCCCCCAGTTTAGCTGGCACTATTGTTAGCGTGAGTTCAGGCATTAACAACGTCCATTGCATTGGATAATGGTGCATTGTGTGTCAACAAATTGTTGTTTTGTACTGCAATATGATGTAACCAAAACTTTACCATTGCTTTTCTGTGTTTGTCACAATCCAGCATTAGGCAGTGAGAGGATGTTCTAGAGCGTAACTTGTGTAGTTCCTGGAATATTCATGTGTATACATTCTTGGTTACTTCATTCTGGACTTAGCTGTGTGTTGTCACTGATCACTGATCAGAGGACAATTTAGTCTTTGCCACCCACAAAATAATTATGCTGAAAAAACATTTGTAGTTGGCTCTGAAAACATAACACGTTTTTTTTCTCCAAGTGTATGTTTTTTCCATAAGCCTACCTCAACAACACCCTACCTTTAGCAGTTTTATCAGGCCTAAAGTATGCATGAGCTCACCTGGGCCTGGTATGTGGAGGTGGGAGAATGCATGGGCAGAGGGAGAGGTAGAAGGGAGTGTAGTACAGAATGTAAGTAGTGAGTGGATGACATTAGCAATTTGTGGTGGAAGCATGGGGTTACATGTGTGTGCGTATTGTAGCCTTCAAAACGTGCTAAGAACAACCCAACATGTAGTCTCCAACCATCTGGGACCTCGATTGTATCATTATAGAGGGTCGGATACAGTTTATTACCACATGTTGTCTCCGTGAATCCTTCCCTCCTCATATTGTACGCATCATCCTCCTAATCCGATTCTTGTGTGTGTCAGTACATGATGGCTAACAGTAAGAAATGTTTTACTAAAGATTGAACTAAACAGTAGGGCCCAGTGCAAGAACGCATTTAGATATCAGTTTCTACTTATATACTGCTGCATTCCCATTTACTGCCACATTCCCTTCTTTAAGTCCTTGAGGGATTTTAAAATACAGATTCAAAGTTGCTCCCACAGCAGCATTTGGGGACTACCTCTTCTGTTCACGTGTGTGTACCTAACCCAATTAGTGCACGCCTTTGTTTCCTCACACGGAGTGAGCAAATACCAGCCTAACCCGTTTACACACGGTAGCTCCACCGATGTCGTGTCTCTGAACATGCGTATGTGTGTGTCGGATCCGTCTGTTTGTGCACTAGGCAGTGTGCCCTGGGGGAGTGTGTGTAGTGAGGACATGTGGAATTCTGGGGGAGGGGGGGCAGCGTACAGTAACACACTGGTCTGGTCCACCGTGGGATAGACACACGGTCTCCTGCCATATTCCCATGTCGATGAGTATCTCGTTTCACATGAAAATTATTTTATGTTGGGGGGGGAGAGGCTAAATTGCGCGGATTTTCCAAGAGCTGCGTTAATTGCAGGAAGTGTCTGTGAAGAATGTCAATTTTGCGGGTAGTGATACCTTATCGTGATCGACCCTTGTTGTAGTACTGTCTGCAAATGCTCCTGAAGTCAGTGTACTCAAACAACATGGAAACACTGCTCGGTGAGTTATGAAACTGAAACGGTATATTTAGCAAACAAAAGTCTCCTAAGCTAGCTTACGTGGTGAAACTTTTAAGGCAAAACTTCAATATGGTGGGTCAGTGGTGCATGTTACATGCAACCGGCCTTTCTGAATAATACATGTTGAGACTGATGACCACCGCTCAATAGTCACAGACCCTGAGGGTGGGATCTGGGTACGAGAGACTACACTCCCAACTCGTGCCACCTGGCGAGGTCAGAGTTCATCACGTCTGGCCGGGTGCCATGACCACTAATGCACGTACGACAGTTCTGGTCACCAGATGTCGTGCCTGTTTGTGAAACTAGGGCTCTTCTGATATTCTTTTGTTGGCACACAGCCGCCATCCTAGCAGCACTAGTCTTCCTCGTACCGTTGACATATCACTGTTGGTCATTCGAAGCAGTGCGAACGTGTGTGTCGGCATGGCGGTTGTATTGGGTTCCTTGCTGAAATGGAGCCTGCGTCTGTTTGCTGGCTTAGTAGAATCATTGTTAGACCTAACGTTGTGCTGCTTACAAATTCACCTCCTTTCCTGCACTATTAATATTAGACATACTTGGCAACTCAGAAGTCGCGTTGCATTTCTTCCTGAAACGAACACCTTGCGCATATTATGGTGGCTTAGGCTGAAATCCTTTGTGCCGATTACAAATCAACCTTTTCCTGTACTATTAGCTTTCCATATACCATCTCTCCCTTCATGGTGACACCACTGCAAACATATGTAGCTACATGTGGTTCCTTGCTGAAATAGAACCTCTGTGTTGCTTACAAATCCATCTCCTATGAGAGTACTGAATGGATGAATGGGTCGGACAGCTAGTGAGCAGTAATCCTATATATTACCTGGGGGCTAGTGGGAGGAGGCAGGCTAGTATTACAGCTGAGGTCCTGTCCAGGTCTATATATTCACTGTAGCTCCAGCGTTCAGCATAGTCAGCTGGTAGTACACACTACAGACCAAGTCTTTGTGAATGAGCGTGTCAGACTAGTAGACTAGCAGTCCTGTTCGTGTCAAGACCCACGTTTCTTTAGTAAATGAGTTGCTCTGGAGTGTTGGTAAAGCTCGCTATTTGAAGCTGTTTGCAGTGTCTATGGGAGAAGTTGAGTGACAGTAAGCTGAGACTTCAGGCTTTGGTAAAGCTGCAAATCAGTTTGTGAAGAGTACAGTATAGCTGTTGAGCCTCTAGAGTTGCAGGCCAGTGGATCTGTGTTGACACGCTGCCAATGCAAGGTACGATCTGTCGTAGTGGACTCTGGGACTACTACAATCCCATTGTTGGACGGCATTCCATGTTTGAGGCTAATCAAGCAGTCAGACTGACAGGTTCTGTCTTCGTATAAATCAGTCTTCGCTAAACAAAGGTTATTAAAAACATAAGCAACAAAGGGGTGTGGTAGTTCAATACACGGTATGCTATAAGGGAACAGGGCTAGGAGATAGACTAGAGAAGTAAGACCGACTAACAAAACGATTGACTAAACAGAGGATCTGAAGGGGTAGAAATTATGGATCCCGATGTGTCATTTGTCCCTCGGTCAGTTTTTAGTGCCGGCTGTCTGCTGCGTGGCATGTCCTTCTGTTAGCGTGCATGTCTGTCTAAATAGGGAATGAATTCCTCCGTCACTTACTACACTAATAGTCCTGTATGTAGCATGTATCTGGATATATTGCTAGCCTGTGTCTCCATTACCAGTGAGATGTTGTGATGGCCGCATTCCTGTCTGTTCGTAATTGAAAAACTAATGCCCTTGTGCAATTTTCACTTAGCAGACCACTTAGTTGACCAAGTGCCTAAATAGAGTGTCAGTCTCATTGGAACCAGGCTAATAAAAAGATCTTTTTTATTGAATCTTCACTCTCTGTACTCTCTTCTATTGTCTATGGTGTCAAACATGTAGTTTATAGAGATTACGACATTGCCTGTTTTATATGTCATAGCTTTATGTCGTGTTTCCAAACGGTGGCTGCATTTCAGAATAGGCTTATTATGAGATTCTAGACCAATTAGTTTTAAAACCCCATTGACTGCTTTGGTGAGGTTGGGATTAGGGAAGCTCCATTGTGGATAGGTAAAGGAGGTGGATGGCTACAGTAGAAGGGGACAGGGAGACACTTAATGACCAAATATCCAGAGTTCTGAAAATTCCAGGGAGAGATAAAATAGCTGGCCTAAGACAATAGTTTTTTCAGAGCCATTCATTGCGTAGCCCTTGTGGCTGTCATGTGTGGGCCAGGAGCATTGATGGGGCGTTGGTCACCTCATCTGGAGGGTGGGAGAGAGGATGTAAGTGTGAGTAGGATTTATCAATGGCCCATTCTGGACTCTCTGATGTCTTGGCTACTGTTGATACTGCTGATGATGGAAGGCATTTCTGTTGTTTGTGTAGTTGATTTAATCTGGCATTGCTAGCGCCTGCCACTCACTCCCCTCTTTGTGCAGCTGGAATTTATCCAATACAACTGGCACTCTGGCATTTCTATACTCATCTTTTCTATGTACTGAAAGACAGTAAAATGTTCGCAGGCAGGATTGAAAGAAGAGCTTTCCTCAAAGTCTCAGGCGTAGTGGACGGTATTTGCAATGGACACACTGTTACTCCCAGATAAACACTAGTCTTCCCTTTTTCCTCCTTTAAAAGTGCTTTGGTAAACACGTAAATGTTTGGTTAAGTGTTGCTACTAAAGTCCACTAATGCCATAGTCCAGAGCAAGCATTTCCCTCTCTCTCTCTTGAACACAAACAAACACATGCACGTCTTTGTTGGGCCCAGTGGTTATTCTGTGCCCGACCTGACATCTCTGGCCGTCCCAAGCGTGTATGTGTGTGTGTGTGTGTGTGTGTGTGTGTGCATGAATGTGTACACACTGTGTATGTGTACATGCTGTGTATGCGTACATGCTGTGTGTATGAGAGATATTGCATTCTCTAGCTGTGCGTATGTGAAATAAGGACTTGATTGAATTCTAGGTGTGTTTGTTGATGCTACCTTTTCCAACTTTTACAGTCACTTCTGACCACATCAATAGGTTTTGGCCCTCAAACAATCATTTAGCTCTGAATATGGTTCATGTGACTTCATTTGAACTTTCATTCCAACCGCTGATAAATTGTCTTCCCTCCCTCCCTCTCCTCCCCCCCCACCTCTCTCTCCCCATGCCGGTCTCAGATATTCTGATGATAGCTCTGATCGTGTCCGTCCCACTCCTCATCTTCATTGTGATATTGCTGGTCGTCACCATCTGCACCTGCAAGTAAGTCATTTTTCTTTGGGTGCAAAAAGTTGATTTTCATTCTCAGAATTCTGAGAACAAATATTTACAGTAAAGTCCTACACTGTATATAAATCTTTGGGGCTAAAAATTATTCTCAGCATTTAACGAATATTATGTATGTAGCATGAAGAGTAGTGTCTATGGGTTCATGTGCATGCGACAAATAAGGCAAAGAAAATCCTTTTTTCTTACGGAACTCTTAAGTAAACCAAAACCATTGTACAGTGGACAGTGGTTAGTATCATCTGTGCAATGAAATTGACATACCAATGAGGCTTCTAGACATGCTGTCTTAACTGCGCCGAGTAAGATGGGCCAAATCAACATAATGGGCAAATGACTGGTGTCATAATTATACAGAGGCTCATGCAAAACTGTGACTTTCAAACGAACTGTTCCACATGTTTACGTATGTAGTATACCTTGGTAGTAGACGGGCAAATTGCTGTGTGTCATTAGTCAGTGAATCACCACTGGCAGGTTTCCCTGTCTGAGGCGATTAAACGCAGCATCAAACCGAGGAATGTTTCTCACAGCTAATGACCCTGCAATGGGATTCAGAGCCTCAGACTGGAGACAGTGTGGCAAGCTGACCGGCCTGGCATCTGGATTTCCATGGCAACTAACCACTTAGGCTACTTCACACTGCCTACTTATACTGTCTCCTATTTCACACCCCTCCCCCCTCACACCCTCACACCCCCTCATACGTATGTAGCTGTGGGGTATGGATTTTTGGGTATACGAACACCAAGTAATAGCTATACAGTGGAACCTCGATAAGGGACCCTCTAAGGTAGGGACGGCCTCTCTACAAAGGACACCTGCTTCAACCCCATGTAGTTTATTATTTGACCTCCGAGATGGGGACGACCTCTCTACAAGGGACAAAATCGTTGGCCCCATAGTGTCCCTTGTTCAGAGGTTCCACTGTATTTATGTTGGGCTGTGTAGACATAGGGACATGAAAAACATTGAAGAAGCCAATGATTTCTATCATCGCAGGACCCAATGGCCTCTATCACAGTCCCATACCTATATCTATGACGGTCACGCACCATGACAGAAGCAGCACAATTGTAACTGCAATTTAGACTGAAAACCTTTGATCACGGCACCAGTTTGCTGCTGCTATAATATTCTCTAGTGACTGGTAGGTCGGGATAGTACGCAACAGTATACCACAACGAATGTAAGAGTGGGTGAAGGTCTGTATACCGCGAGAGAGCTATAAATGATTCTGTGGGTGCAATGGGAAAGAAATGTCAGTTAGTTATGGATAAATCGCGCAATTTCAACAGCTAGATAAGATATATAGCTTCATTCGCTCTGTGCTATAGGAGGTGTAAGTTGAACATACGGAGCTTACGTGAAGACAATATTTAGTTAGGAGCAGCATTGTCCACCTCTTCTTCATTGTGGCATCCATAGCTGTGCTCCATGCAGACACAGCTCCTCTGTTGCATAGCATTCTGCTTCAATTCCTACCATTCCTATATACTCCTGTCACATCTATGTATGTACCTGGCCTCTCACTGTGCCAGCAGTGCCTGCTTATGCATCCCCTCCCATGCCCTCCGGGCAGCTGGAATCTCTTTGAAGTCGCCCCGCGAGATGAGCAACCGAGACAGATTCTCTGCGTTGCTAACCAGCAGGTTTTCTCATTCGTGACTGTCCCTCGGTTGGGAAGCTAAGGGAGGGAGTCCATCTCATAATATAGAGTGGAATTTCCTGTGGGAGCTTCGCAAATGCGTAGGTACTTGTGTGTTTATTAGACAAGGGTCTGTCCCTAATTGTTCCGTTTTATGGGCCGTCTTATAGAGTCATCGTATAGTGTGGAATTTCTGGTGGGTCTGGTTCTGAGCTTTGCAAATGCGTAGGTACAGTGTGTTTATTAGACAAGGGTGTCCCTAATTATTCGTTTTATGGGCAAAGTGTACGTCCTGTAATTCCCTGTTGTAAGAGGTTGTATGTAAGAGGCGGTTAGTTAGTAAGTGGGTGAGCATTGTCACGTGTGTCCTCAACTGATCTTTTATTTTCCTTCCGTTGTGTTAGAGATGGGATGCCATATTGTGTACATACAAGGTGTCCTTGGTTTCAGCAGAGAAAGTAGGAGATATCACTAAGTACACATCCTCAACTTATAATCATATCCCTTGGGGCAAAAGGCTCAAGAATGTGTTCAGATAGTGCATTTCCCTGTCTTTAGCCATGCGGTGAGGTCATCTGGAGAGAGAACTTGTGTTTTCTACAGAGCCACCTCACGTGTTCAATACCTCTATCTTTCTAGCCAAACTCCTTATGTAGCGAACTGTAATTGTTGGCATGTCATTTGTTTTACACAGTATGGATCAGATAGCAGAAAAGATGTTAGGATAAGCATGTGCAGCATACTATATATGGACTATAGGGACCTCATTATAGTCTGATTGATGTGCTAGCCTAAGAGCCTATGATAACACACTAGTCAGAGCTCCAGACACATTGCCTCGAGCTTGTTTTATCTGTTTGTACAGCTCCATGAACTGCATCGGTGTATGGCGAGGGTTTATGTAGCATAAGCCATTAATTTCACGCCTGATCGAGTTCTTGCTGAGACTGAATGGAAGGCATAGTTGGTTAGGTTTGCCTAATACCCAGTCATTGTGACTAATGTTTATTACATGAGGGGCTCATGAGATGTTCCACTGCGCAATGTGAAACTCTCTTGAGACGTTCAATTTATGTGTCACTATGCTTTCATATCCATCTCCTCCACTTCCCTCTCCCTCTTCTCTTCCCTCTTTCCTTCGGTCCTTCCTCCCTCCATGTGTCACTCTTCCTCCCTCCCTCCATCCCCTCCCCTCCCTCCCCCCTCCCTCCCTCCCTCCCTCCCTCCCTCCTCCCCAAAAGATGCCGTCAACATCTAGAAAAGAAACATCGCAGAAGACCGCCTCCTGTCATCCTCCACCAGAACCAGAGACTCAACAACCAATCAGATACCTCCGCCATCAAACCTCTCCACGACCTCAAGGGCGGCGGGGTCAGAGTTCAGGAGATCCACCCGGAAACGACCCCTCACCAGCACAACGGCTCAGCCAGCAGTGGCTTTGTGGAGGAGCTGGAGCATTACGCCCACACCAGCTTCAATGGTGAGCTGTCACATGACACTTGCATTACAGTCACATGATTTAGTAAGGCTGTCACATGACTTTTGCATTCACTCTGGTGAGACTGTCACATGAAAAGTATATTTATAGCATACGCCACATGACTTTCTCTTAGGGTCATGTGATCTGTAAGGCTGTCTCACTCATCTTAAGACTGTCATATTGCTTTTGCCTTTGCATCATGTGATCTGGTAATAGATTGTCACATGACTTTTGCCTTAGTGTCCTAGAAGGCTGTCACATGATTTTGCCTTTGACTCATGTGATCTAGTGAGAATATCATGTGCCATTTGCTAGTCTCGTAACCAGCCGCTTGGCTCGGTTTTGCCTACAATTATCAGAATAATATTGTTTTACTCCATTGTGCCAATGTTTACATGCCTTTAGAGTGACAATATCTAACAAATTGCATTGTTTACCACTAAAAGGTCCATGTGGTCCATGTGCATTGCTCATGTCCCTCTACATGTTGTATACCTCAATTCCACCTCTTCCTTGCTCTGTGTAATGAACTATCATTTCTCTTCCATGACCAGTTGGTATATAACTTTCAATCAAGGGAAACAACATTTTCCTGTTCAAGAAGTTTTTTCTATGAACATTTGTAACCGAGGCTTATTTTTACAGTGGAACGAGCAAACTGAAAACATTTTCCTAGGAATTCCGAATTCCAACTAATTTTTTGATCATTTCCTCCCTTCACTTAACAGTATGCATACATGTGTTTCAAATTTGTCGCTGCACTGTAAGTATATACCTAGTAGTTTGATCACCTGACTATCATGTGACTCTCATGTGTGCAGGTTACTCGCAGACCCAGAGCGATATTGACGAGGCCGCGTTTGCCGCCGCGGGTAACGCCTATGCTCCCTACCCACTCCCAGACGATCCTCCATCCGTCCCCTTCACCCCAACTACTCCACACCCTCCCTACGTCCCCTATGAGGTATATATATAACACCATCTCAACCCCTGTTGGGAGCTACTGTATATAAATTTAAACCCTTCCCTGAATGCGTAGTTTTTCATGTGTAACGATGCATCAACCAAAATACCATAATGTTTACGTGATTCTCATGTAAATACGCGCGAACACACGCACGAAATATTCAACTGCTTGCCAAAAATGCGTAGCATTCTTCCACTCAAGAAGAATTCTACATAACCCCTGAAATAGCTTCATTAATATGGACACTTTATTTGTGCCAAAGGCATTGGAGAGCCAGACCTACAGCATTCAAGTTATGGTATTTGAGTACATGTAGCTCCATCTCCATCAGGATTCTATTTGTTGGTTAAATTCCGATGAGATCAGCATTTCTTTGAGATCACAGGTATATAGAAGACTTGCAAGTGTATTTTGTGTGTCTTCATCCTTGAGCTGTATACTGACACGAGGGGGGGTTGTGTGAAGCCAATGTTTGTGTGGCCTTGTTGCTAGCTCAACTGTCAGCTGACTTTAATTACTGGTGATGTCACCACGAACAACACAGCGGCTGACATTACAGCCTCCTTAGGTCACACATGAAGGGAGTTCAGCTGCCGTATATCCTTACTCTAACTCCCTCCTCTTTCAACTTTTTGTAGTCGCAAAGTGGAGATATTGCCTTGACTTAGCACCTGCTCTTGAAGTTGGTGGTTTTTGTTTGTGTGTACGCCCATTGCCCAATCTGCATGGATTATAAGGTGTTACGTCAGCACTGGAATCGTAATTGCATCAAATCAGCTTTTTCCTGTGGTGGCTCACATCTTACAGTGGAACCTACAAACACTGTAACCAGGCATTTTCTCCTCTATAGGGAGGTTGTCCTCCCTTCAGAGGTTAAAAATTGTACTATATAGAATAAAGAAAAATGATCGTTTGGGACCTCAAAACGACGTGTCCTTTATTGTGAGGTTTTTTTCCTATAGTGTCCTTTATCGGAGGTTCTAATGTATATGGCTGTGTCTCCTTTAACGGTTTTCTGCATGAATAGTCCTCAACTGTTTTCTACTCTTCTTTTGCAGATTGAGGAGAATGATTCAGTTCGGTACCACGCCCATAGCCGGGGCGGGGCAGCTCTGCAGCCACACCCGTTCTCCCGCTCTCTCTCAGAGGAGGCCCACCTGGCTGGGATGATGATGGGAGGTGGAGGAGGAGGAGGAGGGGTGGCGGGGGGCAGCAGGATGGGAGGAGGGTACGACTCCAGGCTGGATGAAGAGGGAGCGCAGTTCTCTCAGGACCTGCCAGGTTAATAAAACAAGCACTGAAGTGCAAACCCTAGGTACAAGGAACACCCGCGCATAGCGTTGATGTGCACTTTATGCATGCGCTTTTAACTGATGGCCCAGCTCCTGAATGCAGTTGTTTAAGGAATCGCCATTTTAACTGGTAGCTCTGAAGCCTTTGGTTTTGCTTATTGGGCGTCTCGTAGCAAGTATATAGTGCCAGAACACACACAGACAGACAGACACACAGACAAGCGAAGTACTGTAACCCTCGCTGTGCATGCGTGCCTAGTGTTAATAACTACTCGCCACCTGCGGCGAGTAGGCGGCAACAGGGGCTTTAGTGACTCTAGTGACTACTGTTGTATGCATTACCAAAATTATAGCAGGTAGCTTTGGGGGATGAAATGTCTTCGAATTAGTAGGATTTGTAAAACAAATCTCTAAATGCACAAAAACACCTGTATGGGGTAGTCATGCACATTGTGATGAATTAAGGTTCAAGTGGAACATCTGAGAGCATGTGTGTGTAAATAAGTGTAGAGTTTTTCTACACTTGAGAGTGGTAATTTTACAAAGTAGGAGGTGCTGCGTGGTATGTATTATGTTACACTGAATGTTGTTCATATACAAAGCACCGTAGCCATAAGTGTGATCTTCTCCTCTCTGTATCCGCACACACACACAGAGCACCTAACACACCACGGGCTCAACTACTACCCACCGTCCCCAGCCTCCTCCCGAGCACACCCTCACTCCTCACACTCCCACCACTCACATCACCACGTAAACGGTGGTGGCCGTGACAACCGCATGACGGCGGGCATGGACCTGTCGATGGTGCGGGCCATCGAGCAGGTTTCGGCGAGCGAGACGGGTTCGCGGAGTCCGTCCGTGTCAAGCGTGGGGAGTCGCAGTAGTGCGAGACGCAGCGGACGTCGGAGGCATCACCACCGCAACGGTCATCACCGTGGCGACCCCAGGGTTCACTCCCCCGTGGGTGTCCCCTCCCACTCCGCCCAGGGGTACTATTACGGGTACTACCTCCAGGGAGACGGCAGAGACCCCTATCAGAGTAACACTCTCCCTCGCTCGAGCAGCAAGACAGCCTCGCCACACATGACTTCCCGGAGTCCCAGGCATCACATGACCTCCGAGGCCAGTCCCCTTGTCGGTAAGGTGACCACGCCCCCCGGTCGACACCTGCGCTCGGCCAGCAACGAGCTCCTAGAGGTGAGACCACAGCGCCACCACCTCCGACCCCCGCTGGAGGAGTCACATGACGTGTCACATGACCACCAGGGTCCCCGTGGTGGAGATGCCACCGGCCCTCCCGGACGAGTACCCTCTTGTCTATCACGCCACTAACCCTATGTCCACCAGCCCACAGGTCTCAACCTCCCAGGCCTCCGGTGAGGGAGACTACGACCACATCAGACCGTCTGCCGTCAAAGCCCCTCCCCCTCTCTCCCGGGTCAACCTGAAGCCGCCGCCCATGGCAACACTGGCCACTCCCACCCAACCAAACTCCTCCTCCAGTTCTCCCAACTCCCCTCGCTCCCCCATCTCTCCCTCCTCGTCTTCATCGGGCCAGCAACAGCAGTTCCCTCAGGAACTGACAGCTGCCATACAGAAGAGGTCCAACGCTATTAGTTCTTCTGCCAGTTCAAGCCCCCAGGCCCCTCCACCCCCTCCCCCCAGAACTGCCTCAACCTCACACCAGGAAAGGAGGGGGCGGGCCCGAAACCCAGCCAGCTCGATTCTCTCCCGCCATGATGTCGCTCTACGGCAAGGAGAATCCCCCTGCCCCGCCCACACGCGGACCCCCGTCGCTACAGGGACAGGGCAATCTGTTAGCGAGCGATCACACAGGAGTACCTCCTCCTCCCCCACCCCCTCCCCCTGTTCGTAGCTAATTTTGAACCTGTTATACACTTTTATAGGGCAGGTTGCCGTGTATATTTTTGAGTGTCTGCTTCATTTTTGTCTGGCCAAGCCAACT